TTTCCTCCTCGTCTCCCCCTTCCTCCTCGTCTCCATTTCCTCGTCTCCCCCTTCCTCCTCGTCTCCACCTTCCTCCTCGTCTCCCTTTCCTCCTCGTCCCCACCTTCCTCCTCGTCTCCATTTCCTCCTCGTCTCCCCCTTCCTCCTCGTCTCCATTTCCTCGTCTCCCCCTTCCTCCTCGTCTCCACCTTCCTCCTCGTCTCCCTTTCCTCCTCGTCCCCACCTTCCTCCTCGTCTCCATTTCCTCCTCGTCTCCCCCTTCCTCCTCGTCTCCATTTCCTCGTCTCCCCCTTCCTCCTCGTCTCCACCTTCCTCCTCGTCTCCATTTCCTCCTCGTCCCCACCTTCCTCCTCGTCTCCATTTCCTCCTCGTCTCCCCCTTCCTCCTCGTCTCCATTTCCTCCTCGTCTCCCCCTTCCTCCTCGTCTCCACCTTCCTCCTCGTCTCCATTTCCTCCTCGTCTCCACCTTCCTCCTCGTCTCCACCTTCCTCCTCATCTCCACCTTCCTCCTCGTCTCCATCTTCCTGTTCTTGCTGCAGCACCAGGTTTTCCTTAGCTGCAGGCAGCAGCACCCTTTTTGTATTTCCCCTTCAGCCTGGCGGCCTTCTTCTCACTGCTTATCCTCTGCAGCAGTGCTGCTCCACATCTCTCCCAGTTTCTTTACAACATCACCAGCAGATAAGCCGGGATGCTCTCCTTTGATTTCGGGGCGATACTCAGAACAGAACCAGAAAGCTGAAGGAGGTCCCTTGGGTGTGTTGGGATCTTTGAACTTTTGGTTTCCCCTTTAGGAGGGGTGTAGGTTTTCATTTCTCTTTCATAACGAGCCTTTGCCATGTCTTCAAATGTTCCTTCTTCTTTGGCAGAGATGGTCTTCCACCTCTCTGAGCACTTCTTGGAAAACTCAGAAGTTGAGGGAAGCATCAGGGTGCTTCTTCTTGAGCTCCTCCCAGCAAGTTTGCACAAAGAATGCATATGATGACATTTTGCCTCTCAGCTTCTTAGGATCTCCTTTGCCCACATTTAGTTGTTTTCCTTAGCAAGGCACAGAATCACCCAGTGCCCGTCCAGCTCTCACTTGCCCCAGTGCTGTCTCTATGGAGCTCAATATACTCATCTGTTTGTAATTTTAAAGCACTTCCCAGGAAACAGAAGGGACCTAAGGGGTCAAATCACTAATGATGCTGAGATAGAGTTCAGAGCTCACCGAAAATGAACTCCAGAATTTGAAATCTCTGTTGAGACAGGATTCCAGTTACTGATCTTGCAGCAGGTGGGCCTCTTGAATGTCGTTATTTTCTTTGGGTTTTCTTGTGTAAAAGATACTTTGCCCATTGGCTTTAGCTGTCAGAAAAAATTTCCAGCTCAACCAAGATAAAATAAATTTTTAGAGACTGAGGAACATCCAGGATCTCTTTGTTCCCCTTTAATTACAAACAGAATAAGGCAGCTAGCAAGTTCAGGGTTTTCCATTTCTTTCAAGCTCAAGCAATGTATTGGATATTTTGAGGGGTAATGATGGTGTATTAGGTACTTTTACGTTGCTATGACAACATAATCCCAGCACTTGAGAAGCAGAGGCAGGTGCATCTCTGTGAGTTCGAGGCCAGCCTGGCAAGTTCCAGGTCAGCTGGGGCTACAGGGAGACCCTGTCTCAAACACACACACACACACACACACACACACACACACACACACACACACACAGACAAAAAAAAAAAAAAAAATGACCAAGCCCACTTAAAAAGGAAGAGTTTATTGGGCTTGGCTTATGATTCTAGAGGGATGAGTCCATCATGGCGGAGATGTGGCAGGAAGCAGCCAGAACAGAAAGCTGGGAACTCACCTCACATCTTTAAGCAGGTACAGGAAGCAGAGAGACATACTGAAGTGGAGGCAGGCTTTGAACTCTCAAAGTCCACCTCCAGTGACATGCTTTCTCCAGCAAAACCACACCTCTCCAAACACCGCCACCAACTGACCAAGTGCTGAAATACTTGGAAGCTATAGGGGACATTCTCACTCACACCAACACAGATGGGATTATTGGTTTTGAAAGATAATTTAATCCTGTCCCAAACTAAACAAAATCCAAAAACTTAGCAGGCAGTGGTAGTAGTGGTAGTGTTGGTGATAATGTTGCTAGGGCCTTCCACTCTGCCACTGAGCTATATTTCCAGCCCTCTTTTGAAATTTTGATTCTGATACAGGATCTTACTAAGTTCCAAGGCTGGCCTTTAACTTGTTGAAGTCCCTGCCCAGGAAGGACTTCAACTTGAGATCCTCCTGCCTCAGCCTCTCAAGCACCCTGAATTACAAACCTCTGAAAATAGACCCAAAACAAACATTCTTTTTCGAATGCTGATATCATCTGATTATAATTCTTTTTTACAGGACACTGTACAAAATAATGCAGGAGTGGCAGATACCGTCACCAATGATCAGAATGCAAACAACTCTGTAAATAATTATTTAGAATAAATAGAAATTTGAAAAATCAAGCACACCATCTTACAGGAAATGGTATTTTTAGCCTATTTAGGGCAGTTACGTTGTAAAAATTCTATTGTTTTCTTTGGAGAGAGGAGGCAGCAACCTTGTTCCTGAAGTTAAACTGAAATAATTGTTTATTGTTTTCTCAGGAGGCGTGACCTCACCAAGCCCTGGTTACAGTCACTATGGACAAAGAAGCAATTGCAAAAACTGGCTTATTAGGTATGAAAAGTAAAAATTCACTCTAAAACACAAAAACAGACTTCTGAAATAAAAACTCGTTTTTCAGTATACAACCTTAAAGCCATCTTTTACATACATGCTAAATAGAATAATTTATGACAGCTAAGAGCACATTAATTTCTGTTATAAGCATTGTTTATAATCTTGATTGACTTATACAGCACATTACACAAGAAATTAGCTACAATAAACCCTATAATATTGCATGAAATATAGCACATTGTTTATAGAAAGAGAAATTTAGCTTTTATATGAATCCTGTGCTATAGTATCATAAAGTAAGGCTGCCAGACACAATACAGCATGCTCATGTTAATCTCAACTGCACAGAAATACCGAATATACATACTGTTAGCCAAAGTATAACCTATGTAATATTTGGACCTCCTGTATTTAAATTTGCTAAATTTGGCAAGCTTAGGTAATGTTAATGGTGGCTAGTTAATTCATATCTAACTGATTAAGACCATTAAGAGTAATCTTCCAGGCATGATGGCACACACCTTTAGTCCCAGAGGTAAGCAAATCTCTGTGAGATCAAGCCCAGTCTATATAGTGAGTTCCAGGCCAGTTGAAGCTATAAGGGAGACCCTATCTCAAAAATCTACAAGGGGAGGAAAGCGGGGGGGGGGGGGGTCCATCTAAGTTTGGGGCCAATGAGATGGCTCAATGGGTAAAGACAACTAAAAGGCTGGGCATGGTAATGCATACCTTTAATCCTAGGCACTAGCAAATCAAAGGCAGGCCCATCTCTGTGAATTTGAGGCCAACCCGGTCTACATTATGACACCCAGTCTCAAAATAGATAGACAGACAGACAGACAGACACAGATAAAATATTTTTTAAATACTTCAAAAAATCTTGACACATTATAATTTAGGCTAGCCAACAGTTACACTGTGGACTATTCTCTGAATGCAAGTCTTGTTGGTTTACCAAATGACAGATGCTTGAGGACACTCACAACGTTTATTTCAGAGAATGGCTGGTTTCTTATTGGCAATACACGTGTTGCTGGTATTACAAGCATGCAGGAGATCAAATCCTAGGCTTTGTGCATGCTAGGTAAGCACTCTGCCAACTGAGTTATATCCTGAGGCCCAAAGAAGTGTTATCTTAAAGAGAGTAGTATTGTGTTACCTTACTTTGGTGAATCACGTCAATACAAACAGTCAATCAAATACAAAGCCTCCAATGGATTTTCTGATTTTGGATTTAATCTTCAGTCCTATCCTTAGTAACTCCACATAGTTTCTAAGTCAAGTTAGTACTTTCTCTAAAGCAAGGTGTTGATACACAATAAATCTTGAGACTCCTAAGATTTCTATACCAAGAGAGATTCCTCTATGTTACTTTTCTTCAGATATTTTAAGACAGAGTCTCATGTGGCCTAAGCTGGCCTCCATTTTGTTATATAGCTGAGAATGATCGTCAATTCCTGATCCTCCTGCTTCCAGCTCCCAAGTGCTGAGATTATAAGCACGTCCCATCATGCCCATTTTCATTTGTTTGTTTGAATGAGGCCTGGGGCTTCATGCATGCCAGATAGGTACTCTACCTACTGGCCTACATCTCCAGCCCCTAGAATTAATTTTCAAGAGATCAAGGTGGATATACCTTGATTAGTTACAAAAATAACTTGTAATTGCAGATAACTTCAGCAAAGGAGCAAAAAATTCAGGAAGAATTCGAGTTCTTTATAGGAAGATCAAGCAATGTAAAGTCTTAATTGACAAACAACTGCAAATAAAATATGTTTATATTTTGAGGGCAGTTCAAAAGGTAAGAATAATCTCTTACAAAAGGGCTTCCTAGCCAAGTCTGATAGTGTATACCTCGATCCCTGCACCCAGGAGTCTGAGGCAGGAGCACAGCAATTTCAAACCTGCCTGGGTTACACTGAGATAGAAGCCAAGCTGGGTTGTTATATAATATGTGGTAGGGGGAAACGTGGGATCTCAAAATACCTTAGGTAAAGGAACAATTTTTTTTCTTTCCCATTAATCAAAGACTATTACTTTTGCAATATAAAACTGAACCAACAGTTTAAAAAAAAGACATAAATAAAAGCCCTTAGACACTGTGGTATTATCACATTGCTAGGAGCTTCTTAACACCTTCAATGCCACACAAACCTTACTCTCAAACAGTACTGGTCCACGAACTCAGTGTTGAAAAATAATGTCTGAGAATATATTTACTGTATGTTTACATTTAAAACAAAGATAACACTAAAAGTTCATACTGAAAACTGTTAAATTACCTTTTCCTATAAGGACTCCAATTTTTGAGTCCAATTTTTCTGCAGGGTCACAACTTCTAGTCACTAATTTGAGAACTGGAAGAAAAGGTCTGACATCACAAAGCCTTCGTGTTTCATCTTCAAGTTCCTCATACACAGCAGTTTGATTCACACATGCAAACATGTAAGAGTCAATTTCCATAAGGAGGTTAAACATTGGGTAATTGTGAACTTGCTTCCATAACATCTGCAGGAAGAAAACAATAAAACATTATCTGGATTGAAACACTGGCACAAATATACAAAGATGCCTGATAGTAAAGACCTGCTAAATGACTTACAGATCATAAAACAATTAAAACAGAAATAAAATCGGACTTGGAAACTCATACCAGATACATTAGTGCTTAGGGGGTGGAGGTTAATATATGTGTGTGCATGTGACAGGGTCTCACACTGTAGCTCAGACTGTCCTGGAACTTACTAAATAGCCTAGGTTGGTCTCAAACTTGTAGCAATCTTCCTATTACACCCTCCCAAATATCCAATTTACAGGTATGATCAACCATGTCCAGCTAAGTTAAAAAAAAAAAAAAATAGCAGGGGCTGGAGAGATGGCTCAGTGGTTAAGAATACTGACTGTTCTTGCAGAAGACCTGGGTTCAAATCCCAGCACCCACATGGCAACTAACAACTGTCCATAACTCCAGTTCTAGGGGATCCTATAGCCTCTTCTGTCTTCCATGGGCACTGCACAACATGGGTGCACTTACCTACATGCAGGCATAACACTCATACACATAAAATAAAAATAATAAAATATTTTTTAAAAAATTGCAAACAAGCAGGTGTGGTGGTGCACGCCTTTAATCCCAGCACTCAGGAGGCAGAGGCAGGTGGAACTCTGTGAGTTCAAGGCCAGCCTGATCTACATAGAGAGTTCCAGGATAGCTGGAGCTACAGAGAGACCCCCGTCTCAAAAAGACCAAAAAAAAAAAAAAAAACCCAAAACAAAACAAAAAACAAAATAGCAAACATGTACATTATATTGATAAACTGTCATGTGCTGTTTGAACTCACTGAGAAGTTGGCTCTGGAAGCTGGGTTGCTTCCTCACCCATTTCAGACCCAAACATATTTGTCTCAAAGTAGTCTCCAAAGCTCCTTGTGGTGGTTGGTTTTAATGTCAACTTGGCACAAATCAGAGTAGGGAGCCTCAATTGAGGAACTGTCTTAACTGCCTTAATTGCAATGAGAAGACCCACCCCAAATGACTGCAGATTGCATTAAAAGGGTATGGCAGAAAGATTGTTTGCTTTTTGCTTTTTTGGCCTTCCCTCTGGCTGCTGAGTTGATTTACCCAGTTGCTACTGCTGCTGACACCTTCCTGGACATCAGAACCAGCGTTACCAGCTTCCATTGTTGACTAAGAACCAGTGGCTCCCTAGGACACCTCCAGGCTTTTGGCACTAGATTGGGAATACATGTGCATTTAGCCCAATGGGCTGAGCGACTACTGGATTCTTGGCCTCTCCAGTGTAAGACAGCCACTATGGGGCTATTGCCACTGCTGATGCACCCAGCCTCAAGGGCCAAGCACCAGGTTCTCAGCCTCTCAAGTGTGATTCAGCTGTTGTTACTATTTCAAAGTAATCTAATTTATAATTATATATATATATATTTTATTATGTGTAACACACACACACACGCACACACACACGCACACACACACACCTACACCTACATATTCATTCATTATGTCAGCTGTTCCAACAGACAACCCTGAGTAATACAGATGAGATGGGCCCCTAACTCAGTGACAGGAAAGGAAGAGAAGAGCAAAACAGTCCAAAACACTGTGTCCTTGAGAACAGCTAGAGGGCAAATAATTTCCAACAGAGGCTATCCTTGATAAAAATAGCTGCAGTGGAAATGGGAAGTCAGAAATTCTACCTTGGGAAGCTCATCCATGGAGCGAAAGCTCAATCAGAAACTCCAGCTGACTGCCCCAACTTCCCCAGCTGGCTCCTAGTGGATGCTTGTAAGCCATGTCTTGATGTTTGCTCTTTCAATCAGACTACACAAGTTGTCTCTACTGGATGTTGTAAATTCCTGATTTGATGACGTTTTGCTATCTGCTGCTTCTCTCCGTCTGCTACTTTTATTTTTGCTTGCTAGATACTTAAAACTCATTCATTCAAAACCAAAAATACAGCTACTTTCAAAAGTAGATCATTCTCCAGACCATACAGAACAGGAAAGAGAGGTTATGTAAGGAATTATTCTGTAGTTCTAAGATAATATAACAACATAGCACACAAAATATGCAAATAAATTGAAAGCAAAATGCCTATGAAGATTAAGAATCAATGAGATCTTGCCTATTTAACATTTCTAAACACTTTGTAATTTCTAATAAAAAACAAAATTGAACAAATAGTATGGTGACTGTAATCAGAGGCCTGTAATCTCAGCACTAGGGAGGCAGAGGCAGGATGATCAAGAGTTCAAGGTTATCCTCAGCTACACAGCAAATTCAAAGGCTCTAAATATAAATATCTGCATTTCATAATTTTTTTTTAAAAAAAATTATGTATCAGGCTGGGCATGGTGGCACACTTTAAGTCCCAGAACTCAGGAGGCAGAGGCAGGTGGATCTCTGTGAGTTCAAGGTCAGTCTGGTCTACATATTCCAGGCCAGCTGGGGCTACAAGGGAGACCGTCTCAAAAAGACTAAAAGAAAAAGAGAGAAAGCGAGAGAGACTATCAATGGTTAATTCAGTGTCAGGTATGACTAGGTATCCACACCTGTCACCAGTGACTACAAAACAGAAGCAAGCTGGTTGTGGTGGCACACACACACCTGTGATCCCAGCACTTGAGTGATATAGATAGAAGGAACAGTTAAAGGTCATCCTCAACTATACAGTACATACTAGGCAAGATTCTGTATCAAAAAACAAACAAAAACAGGGGGCTGGAAAAATGGCTCAGCAGTTAACAGCACTTGCTATTCTTGCAGAGGACCTAGGTTTGGTTCGCAGCATGCACATGGCACCTAACAACTGTCCTTAACTCCATTCAATGGGATCTGATGCCCTCTTCTAGCCTCTGAGGGCGATGCACAGACATGGTGTACTTAAATATATGCAGGCTACACACTCATACACATAAAATAAAATAAACCTAACAAACAGAAGTACTAAGTAGTAACGTAATAGCTAAATTAATTCTGTATTTTCCTTTTACTTCAAAAATTAGTTTTAGAATTCTCATGTATCAATAATTATTGTAAAATTGTATTTTACAATTTCTCTATTACATAATTTTCAATTTGCTTTTTTTCAATTTGATTATATAATTTCTTGGTATTTCTTATATAATTTCTTGGTATTTGTTAAAAAATTTTATCAGCCAGGTGTGGTAGCACACGCCTTTAATCCCAGCACTCAGGCAGGTGGATCTCTGTGAGTTCAAGGCCAGCCTGGTCTACATAGTGAGTTCCCGGACAGCTGAGGCTACAGGGAGACTCTGTCTCAAAAAAAGACCCCCCAAAATTTTTTTTATCGAATTTTTGTGTATTTCATACAGAACATCTTTTTTTTTGGTCATTTTGAGACAGGGACTCCCTGTAGTCCCAGCTGGCCTGGAACTCAGAGAGATCTGCCTGCCTCTGTCTCCCTCAAGTGCCACCACTCCCAGCTTAGAATATCTTAATAAACTTTATACCCCTTCCCCACTAGCACCCACCCATGCTTCCCCACTGTATTTCATACATTCTGTCATTTGTGTTAAGGGTGATCATGTCAAGTTATTGTCCCAGACGTCCTTCATGATTATATGATTTAATGACACCTTTTTTCAATATTTATGTTTTAGATGTGATCACTGAATGAATTTCCCTAGTATGATCAGCAGTGTATGTAAATATACATACACACATAAATAAAAGTAACGAAATAAATCCACATAGAGATGGATGCGGGCAGTAGAGGGGGGGAGAGGAACATAGTAAGCTCTGGAGATATGATAGGCAGCAAAGTGACTATAGTTGACAGCACTGTATTTTACTGTTTGAATTTGCTAACGGGGTAGTTTTTAAGACTTCTCACCATTTTAGAAATGCCAACAGTACAATAGAATAGTTAGGTTACTTTGTGATACTCATGTCATAATGGATACAGATACCAAAACACTGGCTAGAAATGTAGTCCAGAGGTAAAGTATTTGCAATGGACAAGGCCCTGAGTTCAATCTCTACCACTGCAAAAGAAACAAAAAATCCCAAACTAAAACCCAGATACCAAAACAAGTTCTGGGGCTGGAGATGACTTACTGGTTACGAGCATTGGTTGCTCTTCCAGAGGACCAGGGTTCAGTTCCCAGCACCCACATGGTGGCTAACAACCATCTATAATTCCAGTTCCAGGGGATCCAACACCCTCTTCTATCTTCCGTGGGCATTACATGACATGGGTACACGCATATACAAAAAATACAATACTAAAGTATTTAAAAAAACAAGTTCTAGCCGGGCGTGGTGGTGCACGCCTTTAATCCCAGCACTCAGGAGGTAGAGGCAGGCGGATCTCTTGAGTTCAAGGCCAGCCCGGGCAAACTAGTGAGTTCCAGGATAGCTGGGGCTACAGGGAGACCCTGTCTCAAAAGACCAAAAAAAAAAAAAAAAGTTCTATACCATCACTTACAAATTTTCCATGTCAACTAAATCAACAAAATATATGCTTTCTTTGATTGTCATCTAAACTTAAAAGAGTGGGTGGAGAGATGGCTCAGGTATTAAGAAACACTGGATGCCTTTGCAGAAGACCAGGGATCAGTTCCCAGCACCAGTTAGCACATGGTGGCTAACAACTCTTCGTAACTCCAGTTCCAGGTAATCCGCTACCCTTTTCTGACCTCTGTAGGTATTACATGACATGAATGCACTTACATACATACAGGCAATACATAAAAATAATTCAATTTAAAATATTTTCCCAGTTTATAGTTTACTTTTCATTTAATTTATGAGTTTTTTTTGGTATATACAGATACTACTAATTTTTTAAAAGATTTGTTTTATCATTTATGTGTATAAGAGGATAGAACCAGAGGTCAGATGCCCTGGAGCTCGAGGTGCAGGCAGTTGTGAGCCATCTGAGCTGGGTGCTGGGAATTTAGCTCAAGTCCTCTGGAAGAATATCAAGTGCTCTTAACCGCTGAGCCATGTCTCCAGCCCCAAGGCTACTAAATTTTATGTAGTCAGGGCTACCACTATTTTTTTTTCTCTATACTTATCTCCAGAGTTTTTGTGTTTCTGAAGTCCTTTTCAATTTCAAAATTAGATATTTATTTTCTTCTACTAGTTTGATTAAATTTTCATCTGTAAACTATGCAGACTTTATTTCTGTCATTCACAGAAAATAAATTATTTTTCTCTTACCAAATTATATGACAGCATTTATTGAATAAACTTTTTCCTTCTCCCCACTCCTCCCTTCCCCCAAAATATGCTGGGCATGGTTGCTTTCATCTGTAATCTCTGTGAGGCAGGGTAGAAAGACAAAAATTACGGAGACATAGGAAAGGTCCCTTTCCCAATAATCTGATGGAAGCTTCTTGAGAGATGAGAATCAAGAATTTCAGCACAATTAACTGTGAAGGTTATGTATACTTGAATGCTTAATTTTAAAATAGCAATGAACCAGGCTTATGGGTTGGGCTTCATTGCTTTCCTCAGACATTTCCTGAGAAACTCAAACAAAACTGTTAACTTTGTTTACAATAAAGATACTCTACCTTCCTGCATCCTTAGGACTAGTCTTTTACCTTATCAACTATAATCTTGTCAGGTGTCCATCCCCAACCCAAGAACCATCTGGTGATCTCATTTAGATCCCTTAGCAACCATTTTAAAAAATGTAACTTCAAAATCCATCAAAATTCTATATACGATTGTTTTAGAAGACAAAAAAAATGAACAGTACTCTCTCTTAGAGAAGCCTACACCTATGCTCTCAGGGAAGCTTTCTTTCTGAGATCTCTTTTTCTTTTTTTTTTTTCCTGAAATTTTATTTATTTTTATGTGTATTGAGTGTTTTGCCCGGATGTAAGTGCACTTGTGTCCTGCAATGCCCCTGGAAGCCAGATTAGGGCATCTTATTTCCTGGACATGGGTCTACGAAATGATTGGTGTTAGCCACCAGATGGGTGCCGAGAACCAAACAGGGGTCCTCCAAGGGCAGCCAGTGCTCTTAACCACTGAACCATCTCTCCAGGCCCCCTTTCTTTTTCTTAAGCCTCAGACTGATTTTATTTTATATTTTATTTCTTTTTTCTATGTGTATGAGTGTATTGCCTGCATGTGTGTGAGTGCACCCGTGTCGTGCAATGCCACGGAGGTCAGAAGAGGGCTTTGGATTCCGTAGCCACAGTCAGTGCTCTGAACTGCTGAGCCATTTCTCCAGCCCCTAAGCCTCAGACTTAAGCCAGTATTTAAAATATCTTTATTAAAGTTGGGCGTGATGGTACATGCCTTTCATCCCTGCACTGTTGAGGCTAAGGCAGGAAGATCTCTGAGATAAAGGCCAGCCTGGTCTACAGAATTCCAGGCCGGCTGGGACTACAGGGAGACACACACACACAAAAACAAAAATCTTTATTAAACCTTACCTCTTGGACCAACAAGAGTGAGGAAAGGCACTTGCTGCCAAGCCTGGTAACCTGAGTTTGATCCCCAAGATCCACGGGGTGGAAGGAGAGAACTATTTCAAGCTGCCTTCTGATCACGTGCACATGCTATGGCATGCACACACCCACACACTAAATAGAGACCTGCCAACTTTTGCTTCATACTGGCTAGTATTGAAATTCTTTTTGGTGTAGAAGCCATGAATCCAGGAATGGCCTGAGTTGAGGTCCCTAAAAGATAGTGAAACTCTTCGGGTTGATTCAGGTGACAGTGGGGAGCATTGCTTGTCGCCCTCACCACTGACACCAATACTTGGGAGGCTGAGGAAGGAAGACTACTATGATTCCTAAATCAGCCTGGGCCACAGAGTAAGACCACATCTCAAAAAATAAAAAAGAAGACCTGCAAGCTCCCCCAGCACTACAGATTAATGCATCTCTCAGCTCTCACCAGAGAAGCTTCTTCATGCTGCAGATGGTGATTAACAGAGACCCACAACTGACCAATGTGCAGAAAATAAGAGACTGCAGAGTACTTATTCCCAAATAGGGCACCTACATCAAGCCTCTGCCTCCCAAGTCTCAGGGATTATTGCAGAAGAGGGGGCAGAAAGATTGTTAAGAACCAGAGGGGGTGGATGATCACAAGAAAAGTTTTCCAAACAGATAGCTGGGCAGTTACTCATATGAACTCGTAACAGTAACGACGTGAGAACGTATGTAAGAAGCCTCAACCCTAGCTAAGGAACTACTGGCAATCAATAGCTGCTGGGAGAGTGAGAGTCAGTTTTCTTTGAGGGTGGGTTAACCAGTCTCCAGTAGATAGACCCACACCAAAGGGCATTTGGGCACACAAATTTGACTCGATGAGCATACACACACAGGGAGGAGAACATGAAATCAGGTAAGGGATATTAAGAGGGAATTGCAGATCAAAATATACTGTATGAAGCTTGCAAAAATTCAATTTCATTTATAAGTTGATTTTTAGTGGAAAATTCTCTCCTGCATCTATTTCTCCCCTTCCTCCCACCAACCAAAGGGTAGGATTATAGCATGTCACCATGATGAGTGTCGATCTTTCTTAATTCAGCTATTACATGGATTAAAAACTAAAAGTGGGAGTCCATAAAAGGTAGAACATATCAAAGACTTTAAAATGCAACAAGCTAAATAAAATTAAACGTTCCACAGGTTCACCACATAAATTACAAAAAGTAACATTTTCTGTTGTTGTTGTTGTTGTTGTTTTGGAGACAGGGTCTCCCTGTAGCCCCAGCTGGCCTGCAACTCACTATGTAGACCAGGCTGGACTCAAGCTCATAGAGACCCACCTGCATATGCCTCCCAAGTGCAGGGACTAAAGGCATGTACCACATGCCCAGCTATAATTAACTTTTTCTATAATCATTTCCTATGATGATTTTCCCCTAAGTGACAGAGAAAGCAAGCTAAATCTTCAGAAATTCTATTAACATACCTGCTTAATGTAAGAAATAGTAGCTTCCCGAGGTACCTCCAACTGGATATAAATCCCAGTGGGCAAAAGGAAATCCACAGATATGGAGCCATCAGGTGCTGTCTGTGAATCCACTGCCCAGATGTCAAGGACGTCTGTCATAGCAGGAGGCATTATGAAGCTGAAGCACATTTATAACCATGAGGCCCTAGAAATAAGTAAGAAAGGAGCAAAATAGTCATTAGACAAATTTCATACTTAAGTATGACAAGCACATATCTTGGCACATACTGATAATCCTAGCTTCGTGGACAATTGAGTCCAAGAGTCAGAAGCCAGATTGGGTAACATTGAAAGATACTGTCTTGGAAAGAAAATGAGGAGAAATCTTATCAATAACTAGTTCTTTAATATTTTATTTTATTTTTGGTGGGTCTTTTTGAGACAGGGTCTCCCTGTAGCCCCAGCTATCCTGAAACTATGTAGACCAGGCTGGCCTTGAACTCACAGAGATCCACCTGCCTCTGCCTCCCGAGTGCTGGGATTAAATGCATGCACCACCACGCCCAGCTATATTTTATTATTTTTATTTTATGTGTGTGTATTGTCTGCCTGTGTGTAAGTGCACCCGTGTAATGCAATACTCACAGAGGTCAGAAGAGGGCATCAGATAACCTGGAACTGAAGTTATGGACAGTTGTTAGCCACCATGTTTGTGCTAGAAATCAAACTTGGTCCTTTTCAAGAGCAGTCAAGTCCTCTTAACAACTGAGTCATCAATCCAGCTCCTAGTTCTTTTTTTTAGAGATTTTTAATTGTGTGTGTGTGTGTGTGTGTGTGCACATACATAAATGCAGGTACTCTCAGAATCCAGAAGAGGTCATTGGATCCCCAGGGCTAAAGTTGCAAGTGTTTGTGTGCTACCTGATGTGGGTGCTGGGAACCAAACTCGTGTTCTCTGCGAGAGTAGTACGTGCTCTTAACCACTGAGCCATCTCTAGCCCATATAGTTTTTAATTTCTTTTTATCTTTTTTTGTCTTTTTGAAACAGGGTCTCCCTGTAGCCCCAGCTGGCCTGGAACTCGCCATGTACACCAGGCTGGCCTTCAACTCAGAGATCCACCTGTGTCTGTCTCCTGAGTGCTGGGACTAAAGGCATGCGACACCAAACCCAGCTAGTTTTTTATTTCAATATAGACAATAATGTAATAGGAGACCAATTAAATGTGGTATTTTAAAAACCAAAAGAGTAGCCAGAGAGCTGGCTTAGTATTGTGATCTATATGGTAGAAGAGAACCAATTCTTCCAAGTTATCTTTTGACTTCCTCAAGAGTACATATACATGTGTACACACACACACACACACACACACACACCACTAATTAAAACTTTAAAAACTAGTAAGGGCTGGAGAGATGGCTCAGTGGTAAGAACACTTGTCGCTGTTACAGAGGACCTAGGTTCAGTTACCAGCACCCATATCAGGTGACTCACAACTAACTGTAACTCCAGCTTCAGGGGTTCTGAAACCCTCTTCTGGCCCCCTTGGGTACCCACACATGTGCTGTATACAATCACACAGACATACACACACACACACACACACACACGGATACACAAAAATAAAGACATCAAAATTAATAATAAAATAGCAAAACAAAGATGGGCATAATCTGCAATTCCACTACTTAGGAGGTTAAAGCAAGACAATCACTGATTCTGAGGCCAGTAGGTTCCAAGCCAGCTTGGGCTACATAAGGAAACCTGATCTTAAAAAAATAAAAAGGCATGCTGGGCATGGTGGTGCATGCCTTTAATCTCGGCACTCAGGAGGCAGAAGCAGGTGATCTCTATAAATTCAAGCCCAGCGTGGTTGACACAGTGAGTTCCAGGCCAGCTGGGGCGAACAGGTAGACCCTGTCTCAAAAAGGACCAAAAATAAATAAATAAATAAATAAATAAATAAATAAATAAATAAATAAATAAATAAATAAATAGTAAAATAAAAAGGGCTGGAGAAGATAACTCAGCAGTAAAAGCACTAGCTTCTCTTGAAGAGGACCCGGGTTCGATTCCCAGCACCCACATGGCGGCTAACCATCCATAACTCCAGTTCCAGGGAATCTGATGCCCTCTTGTGACCTCTGTGGGCACTGTACAACACAGGTACACTTACATACATGCAGGCAATACACTCATACACATAAAGTAAAAATAACAAAAATTTTTTTTAAATAAAAAGACAAAGCCAGGCATAGCTATACACCTTTAATCCCAGTACTTAGGGAGGGAAAGGCAAGCAGATATCTGAGTTTGAGGCCAGCCTGGTCTAGACAGTGAGACCCTATTTCAAGACAAAATAACAAAAACAAAAAAAAAGCAAATGGAAGACACGAGGCTCTCTGCCCCTCCCAGTTCTAGAGATGGTCACATCTTCTCGTGCCGTGCTGGCTTTGTCCCTGAGACACAATGGTGAAGTTCAGAGTGAATGGATTTGGTCTACGGGGAGCCTGGTCACCAGGGCTGCCTTCAACTCCGGCAAAGTGGACACTGTTGTCATCAATGACCCCTTCGTTGACCTCAACTACATGGTTTACATGTTCCAGTACGGTTCAACAGTACAGTCAAGGCTGAGAACGGGAAACTTGTCATCAATGGGAAGGCCATCTCCATCTTTCAAGAGTGAGATCCTGAAATGGGGTGATGCTGGTGCTGAATATGCTGTGGAGTCTACCGGGGTCTTCACTATCACGGAGAAGGCCGAGGTGCTCTTGAAGGGTAGAGCCAAAAAGGCCATCATTTCTGCTCCTTCTGCTGATGCCCCCAGGCTTGTGATGGGTGTGAACCATGAGAAATATGACAACTCCCTCAAGATTGCCAGCAATGCCTCCTGCACCACCAACTGCTTAGACCCCTGGCCAAGGTCATCCATGACAACTTTGGCATTGTTGAGGGACTCATGACCACAGTTCATGTCATCATAGGTATGCAGAGGACTGTGGATGGCCCCTCTAAGAAACTGTAGTGTGATGGACGTGGAGCCGCCCAGAACATCATCTCTGCATCCACTGGTGCTGCCAAGGCTGTGGGCAAGGTCATCCAGAGCTGAATGGAAAACTCACTATGCCCAACATCTATCATGGATCTGACCTGCTGCCTAGAGAAAGCTGCTAAATATGATGACATTAAGAAGATGGTGAAGCAAGGGCCCCCCCCCCAAAGGACATCCTGGGCTATAGTGAGGATCAGGTCGTCTCCTGTGACTTTAACAGTGACACCCACTCTTCTACCTTTGATGCTGGGGCTGGCACTGCCTTCAATGATCACTTTGTCAAGCTCATTTCCTGTTATGACAACAAATTTGGCTATAGCAACAGGGTGGTGGACCTCATGGTCCACATGGCCTCCAAGGAATAAGAAGCCCTGAACAATCACTCACCCCAGCAAGAGGAAGAGAGAGGGCCTCAGTTGGGAGGGGGGGGTCCCTGCCCCAACTCAGCCCTCAATACATTGAGCATCTCCCTTCAGTTTCCATCCTAGACCCCCAGAAGGGGGGAAGGGGCTTAGAAAGCCCTACTTTCTTGAATACCATTAAGTTCACTGCACCCCCCCCAAAAAAGACACTAAAAATCAATTATTTAAATATACATTTGGTTGTCTTTATATAAAATTTACATACATACACATATATGTATGTGTGTATACCACAATGATTCAAATTTAAGACATTTATCTTGTATATATCTATTAAGAACAAGAAAAAGGAATTCTCACAAGGCATAGCTAACAGATGTCTAACAAATGGTTATAGAACAAATGTTAGAGAAATAATCTTCAAGCCAGCCTGGTCTACATAGTGAGTTCCAGGACAGCTGGGGCTACAGGGAGACCCTGCCTCAAAAAGACAAAAAAGAAAGAATCTTTCTATAGAGGTTTTTTTCTTTGGTTTAGGGAGCTTTATTTGAGAAAGGGTCTCACTGTGCAGCCCAGGGTTACCTCAAACTGATGATCCTCCTGTGCTAGCCAACACAGTACTAGGATAATAAGTGTGCCATCATATCCAGCTTTGTACAGGCTTGGTTTGCAGGGGACAGCATCTCACACTATAGAGCCCAAGCTGGTCTGGAAATCACCATGTAGACCAGGCAGGCCTCAAACTCACAGCAATTCTACTTCAATTTTCCAAGTGCTGGGATTAGAGGCACTTATCCCCATGCCCAGAAAAAAAAATTTTTTTTTCTAATACTGGTTACGGAACCCAGAACCTTGTATATAACAGACAAGGACTATACCAACTTAGCTACATTCCAAGCACCAGTAATCTTCCCTCCTCCCTTCCTTCCTCCCTTCTTTCCTTGTCTCATGTGGCCCAGGCTAGTCTAGAATTCCCAGACTTCCTGATTCCATTTCCCAAGTGTTGTAATTACAGGTAATACACTACTGTGACTCCTGTAGTTTGGGGGGGGGGGGGTTGGGGTTTTTTTCCTTTTTTTGAGTCAGGGCCATATTATATAGTGCTGGCCAGCCTGGAACTTGCTATGTAAACCAGGCTAGCCTCTAACTCATAGAGATCTGCCTGCCTCTGCCTGGGATTAAAAATGTGCACCTCCACACCTGGCCTGCAGAAATATTTTTAAGGAAATAAACTTGCTAGGGTTGAACTGTAGCACAACAGTGGAGCACTTGCTTAGCCTACAGGAAGTGCTCAGTTCAAGTACCAGTGGTGTCATGTCTCCCCCACCTACCTATTACTCCTACTAACTTGAAAATACAATGCTCTAGTTCTTTGCTTTAGTCATCCTTATTGCATGGAGACTACTACATGCAGAGTCCAGTCTAAGAGCTTCAGGTTGGACATAACAGACTCTTTGCATTTTAAAATGATAAAACCAAAGCTCCGAGAGGTTAAATAAATTTCTAGAAGACACAGAGACAAACACAGCACCAGGAACAAATCTACTTTGGTTTTTAAAGTTTTGTTTTGTCTCCTTTAAAGGACATGCTCTGCACAGGGTTAACTAGTTTTGCAAGATCTTCAACCATCATATCCTTTTTCTTTTCCATGAAAGCAAATGATCAAAGGCTGAGAACAATGAACATTTTTAAACTATCAAAACAACTTTCCAGGAATGCTACCAAAGGATATAAGAAATTCAGCAAAGAAAACTGGCTCCACTAAACCCTTAAACAG